GATAAGCGTTTATATAGCAAAAAGTTATAATTGGTATTTCATGACAAAGATAGTTGGAAAATTATATTAACTATAGTGATGTAGGCGATTTCGTAGTTGGCCTTGAGTCACTATAACGTTTCAACGTCGCTTTGTAATCAGCTTACTCCCTTTATTTAATTTTAATTTCAAATGTAATGAGTTTCATCAGAAACCTTATAGCGGATGATTCACTTTATGGGGAATACCGCTTTTTATCGCGTATATCACACTTGTGGTACAAGGGTGTATTAAGTTTGTGCCGATATAGGCAACAATCAGAAGGAGTTGAGATAGATTTGCCTTTTATTATACCGGCCGATCGATTAAAAATCACTTTCGGTATCGATCAAAGTTTGTCTGTGCTCTTGTGTTCAATCTAGAGGTCGTTGCAATTTTTGATATGTTTTGATCGGTCCACTTCTTCAACTACTTCCCATAGAGGTACTTATTTTGAAAAGCCATTGCATCAATAATTGTATTAAACGAAATGATGTACGATATTTAGCGATCGGGCTTGTTTCATTATAGTGTTTTTACTTGTCTATATATTTTTCACTGAACAATGTTGGGTGTATTAGATTTAGTTTACTTTTATAATATTGGAAAATATGCATCTAGACATTTTTTAAAGCGTATGTATTCTTGATCAGTGTAATATTGTAACTGAATTTAATCGTGTCCGTCTGTTAGAGCCACAGCCTATTACAAAACTCATCGTCACGATATATGAAAACTGAAACTCTGGCACATACATACACAAATCGTTATTTAGCGCCTACAAGCCGAACATATGATAATGAAACCTGTTCACCAATCACACATATATATATATAACAGGCAAAAGGCTCTGACATACTTTACAATCTCACATAGAGCAGATAGCGTTTTAAAACGCAATACAAACATCTTTTAAAAATTCGATTTAAAAGCGCAATTGTTCACAAACCCGTTATTATTAAAGCCCACATCACTTCTGGTACAGGGTATATTAAGTTTGTGCGGATGCGTGAAACACCCAGAAACAATTGAGATAGACCCGCTTTTTATTGTACCGCTTTATTTAAAATCAGAATTCAGGAAATAGTTCTGAATCGATCTAAGCTTATCCGTCCGTCCGACCGTCTACTCAGCCGATCGCTTTGCTTTCTTGTCTTCAATCTACAGGCCGAAAAATTTTTAATTGGGGATATTGGCCTGTTTTAGATCAAGGACCAATTTTATTAAAAACAGTTCGGATTAGTTCAGATTTCCGGCCACTCTCCATATAACGGCGAATATTGTAATTTTTTGAATTTCACAACAAACACCGCTGAGTATTTGTATTTCGGCTTTCTACATTGGTGTGAAAAATTGAGGTCGAATGAAATAATTTTTCGAATTTTTCTTGCGACAAAACCGCTCCCACGAAATCTGAATTTTTATATCGTAAATGATGAACGTTTGATCTTCTTTCTTAGTGCGAATTCGTTCGCAATAAGCATTTTTTATAAAAACGAGCGGAAGCATATATCACAAACAAGAACATAAGTAAAAAATTGAATCAAAGAGCAGCAATATTTTGTGGTAGCAGCTTTAAAAAAGTATTATAGATCGAGCGGAATATGTCTCTTTTATTTATGTAACTTTTTTTGTCAGTTTATTGTTTATTTTAAGTTAAAATAAATAAACTTTGTTCTGTCGAATGCCGTTTTGAAACGTATATTAATCCATGCATATTGATCGTCTCTATGAATATGTAAACATACATATACATACATGCATTTTTACTTAAGCAAACTTACAACAATACAAACAATACTTCTTCCATTCTTCCTTTTACCGTGGAATATCGGCCTATGCTATGAAGAAAGTTTGCCACGATCCGTTACTCATTCTACCTCGTTGATCCTTTATTACCTTTAAGGGGCGAATTGGAAATTTAAAATTATACATGACAAGCTTAAGACGGCTATACCAGCTTAAGTGAACGTTCTCATCTTTTGGGTGAAATATATAGTGATAGAATAATAAAATTTAAGCAAGCTTCAAACATGGAAAGAAAATAAATTTTGAGAGAAATATTAATAAATTGCAACACTGGAGCGTCGGCCGCGAGGTGCGTTTCATTCAAGCGACTAACAGGCAGGCAGTGCTGCTTGTGAAAACAATTGAAAAAATCACTCAATTTACGTGTTTAAGGCTAGTCGTACATGGGTCTTTGAAAAATATTGATTTTTCTGTCTCGTTAGTTATTGTGGCTGCAAGCCATTTTGGAAAGTCGTGTTCAAAGTGTGTTTTTCAACAATTTAAAATTTTCCCGCGTGCATGATCATCTTTCTGTATCATATTTCCGAATATTTAAAACATCATGTAGGCCAAGAAAATATTCCTAGTACCCGTTTGGGAAAGTTTCATAGAAGCGACTATCGGACCTATGTGTAACGTATATTTATGAAACTTTCAAAGATTGGTAAGTGTGGTGATGAGGTTTGCATACTTGTTCACCTAAGATGATCAAAACAAAAAAACATTCATTAAAATATTCATCTTTATAGACGAGTACTCGCTCACTCGCACATTACTTTCGTATGCATGCAAAAATAACTTAAAATACCGACATACAAAATGAAGTGAGATGAACACGAAAGCTCAAAAATTTTTAAAGTTATTTCATTTTATACTCAACGTTTTCATTTACCTATATTTGTTCATATGTGTATATATGTATATGTGTGTATATAGTCGTTTTGATATTCTTTTCATTTTTTGTAAAAAATACACTTTCAAATATTACAACGTTACGCAACATTTAAATTTGTAATGCTCCCGCGAAATCATTAAATGAACTTAAGACCGCCGCCACCGCTGCTATTAACACTTTATTTTACGTGCGTGTACGGCGCGTACACACGCCTAAAAAATTTTGCGCAAGATATCGAAGAAACACTGGAACCTGAACAGCTCTACTGTTAGATCTGGGCGTTGGTTATTTTAAATTTGTCTCTCCGTTCGTAACAGTAAGGGATATGAACTCCGTAGACTCCGCAACGCGTACATGTACGATAGAAAGAAAGAATAACTTTTATTAGAAATGAATCGTACACTGTCGGATATCCTTCTTACCCATACCATTGGGAATAATCATTTAAATTACGCATGACCTTGGCAAGTTTTTGTGCTTTTCCTAAATGCATGCACGCTCTTCTTATGGGTAAAAAAAAAAATTTATGGAAGCTTTCTAATTGCCGAGGTTTCGAATTGTCCTAATCGCCAACATTTTTTTGATCTCTTCAAAAAGCGGAACTTGAAGGTCCGTTTTCAATCATTAATATATAATAAATAAAGAATAGGTTTATTTTCAAATAAATTTTAATCGAATACAAAAGATATTTTTGCTATGAGCTTTTTCGCGAACGGCTTAGTCGACAATGTAACCAACGTAAAATGCGAAATTCTTGATTAAACCCAGCGCAGCCAATCCCAGTGTTGTGTAATAAAGTATAACATCGTTTTTGATACCCTTCAGGAACACAGGTACGTCGTTCTTTTTCTGGAAATGCTTTTGTAAACGTAATATTTTTGCTGATACCCCGAAAGATTTTTTAGCTAGAGGAGGACCTCCACCTGCCGGACCAGCGTAGTATCGAATAGTTTTTAAGTGCTGTTGACTGAGACTAGCTCGCAATGCGGGCTATAAACGTCTAATGTCAATACGTACAAACATATGCATATATATTTCTCTTTACTCACCTTCAGGATATTTAGCATTGATCTGCTGTAGAATTAACGTTTCCCGATAGTTAATAAATTTTAATACTTTCGTTAGCAGACAATTTTTAATTTTCCTTTAATATTGAAATACAAAACAAAGATGTTTTGGTTTGTTTTGTCAGATTTCAGTCAAAAGTTCGGCTACTTGGTATTGTAATTCAAAAATACAAGCAAGTTTTTTTTTTTTTTATCTTTAAGGTATCTATAGCACACATAAATAAATCTAGCATCACGTCTGGGATTGGATGATCTTACAAAAACCCAGCGAAGTGTTCTCCTTCCCTTTTCTGCCCAAGAATTCTTGTCATCATATTTGTTATCGAAACAATTCGTTTTTTACATGTCTCTCATTAAAATAAGTCACATATTGACTCAAAGGAGAGACTAGAATATGTAAATCAAATGTAAAATTTTTAATCATTTAGGGACGAGTGTTCGATGCTTACAACTTCACACAGATTTGTCAAATTTATCTGATTATGAAGCATTTACTTAACTTTGGGCGAATCTGTTCTGAAGATTTTTCGCAAACTTTTCTTGCTTACAGCAAGTCGTTTTATAAAGTTAGGTGCATTCGAAAGATTGAAGATTATGGTTGGGATAGATCGGCTATTAATAAATCCTTACATAGAGCAGAATTCAAAATTAGGCTTGAAAGGGCCAAATTTTGTGGAGTTAATTTTTATATCAAATTGATATTATGGGTTAATTTTCATCATAACATACT